TCAGGTCTCACTTTTCTCTGGCGACAGTGCCGTAGAGGCTATCACAGCTGAAAGACCCCTGCTGGGGCTTCTCCAAGTTATATGCAATTTAACAAGGTGAACTCTCCCCAGCATGAAAACTACCACATCTACCGTATGCCGTAGGCACCCTTGAAACAACAGAAGCCCTTGCAAGGACAAGCTGGCGTGCAAATTTTATTTAGACCTGAGTTGCTGCAGCAGCAAGAAGTAATTGCTACGATTAACCATACCCAGAGACTGCCTCTAAGATTGTCTTGAAATGTTAAGCAGCTGTAGGCAAATGCATGTTTGCTTAGCAATGATGGGATCTTGACTCTTGACTACAGACAGGGCCTGGGTGTTTGCCCCAATCCCTGTATGCTTTATGAGTGAGTAGAATTGTCCTTCCAGGAAGCTCCTGGAAGTATAGTTTTTGTGAAGTCTTGACACTGCTTTTTCTCTCCCCCTGTTCATAGTTCCCTCTGTTCCTAGATTTTCCCAATAGTGTAGAGACCTTCCTTTGTATTAGTTTTGGATGGAGCTTACAATCCCCCCACAGACCACTCTTAGTTGGTCTATTTCATGTCCCTATTTAGAGCTTTTGCTGGACACCTCTTTTTTCTACAATCACTAGAGGCTAGGGACATTGGAAATCCTAGGCCGAAGAAATCCAAGCAGGAATTCTTAGCATTGCTGCATTTAGCAGTATTTTTATACCAACAGTCCAAAGGACAGCAGAAGCTTTTGGCTAGCCTAAGCTTCACAGGAGATAAGATTAAGAAAGTTTGTAAGCAACATTTTATAATCCATCACTTTACACCAGAGGCAAAAGACTTTCAAAGATTCCAGAGAGATGACTGGAGGCAGAAAAATCTCCTTTTGTCACCATTAATTGAGAAGTCAGATTTTCTACTTCTCAATTTCTGCTTTTCCTGGGATTTGTCTCCCTGCCCAGAGACACTTCCGTTTGCACCTTGGGACCTGGCAACTTTAGGTCATGGGTGCCTTCAGTGTTTCTTGTCTTTGTTTTAGACTTATTGGCACACTTACAGGAGAGCATTGTTTGAGTACCTTTTAAACTGCACAATTTTTGCTCATTGTGCATCTTGGAAGCCTAATCTGCATTTATCCCCACCTCTCCTCTAAGGCAATAACTTTCTAGAATCTGTATTGTTGTTGGCAAAATTTCACCCACTCCCTGTCCTCACTGCAGGCCACAAAGCCTCCTCCTGTGAAACCAAAAATGACTGGAATATAATGCCTGTTTTTAACAAACTGCCATTTTAAAAAGGGACTTGTGTTTTGTTTCGTTTTTTAAAAAAACATGGAAAATCCAAGGTTTCTGTCTCCATGACTCACATCATTTCCATCTCTGCTGTGAAGGCACCTCTGTGAATCTCTTCTTTTAAATCTCACAAGGAACCAAAATCCAAATTCCTCCTGCACATTTCATCTCATTAAATGTACAATAAAATTTTTATAAAAAATAACCAACAACACAGAAAATGTAAGCCGCTTTGAGTCTCCTTGTGGAGAGAAAAAGCTGGGTATAAATGGAAATAATAATAATATTTTTGCGACAAAGAACTGGTGGGATCATAAGCCTGAAAAAGTTACATAAAATGAACACATTAAACTACTCTGGGACTTCTGAATTCAGACTGATAGAGTTGGAGCAAAATACTCCTGACCTCATGATTGTGTTAAAAAACCAAGTGTGGATTGTCAATGTTGCAATCCTAGGTAACAGCAGGATCGAAGAGAAACAACTGGAAAAGCTGACACGATATGAGGATTTAAAGATCGAACTGCAAAGACTCTGGCACAAGCCAGTCAAGGTGGTCCCAGTGGTGATCGGCACACTGGGTGCAGTGCCTAAAGACCTTGGCCTGCACTTAAACACAATTGGTGCTGACAAAATTACCATCTGTCAGCTGCAAAAGGCCACCCTATTGGGATCTGCACACATTATTTGCTGACACATCACACAGTCCTAGACACTTGGGAAGTGTCTGACATGTGATCCAATACAACAGCCAGCAGAGTGATCTTGTTTGCTGTGGACTCATCTTGTTGTGTTTCTAATAATAATAATAATAATAATATAATAATAATAATAATAATAATAATAATAATTTTGTGATATGAAATCCAGCATATAGATCTCATTTGCTGTGACATACTGTGCTTTTGTGTCAATAATAATAATAATAATAATAATAGTGTAGAACAGAAACTTCTGCACCCATTTGCCCCCAATCTGACATGAGAGACTTGTATTTTCCCCCATAGGAGACTATGTATGTATACATAACCCCAAACATAACAACCAGGGTAAACCAGTTTTAGCCATTTGTTGATTGATAGATTGTTTGATTTACAATATTTATATTCTGCCCTTCTCGCCCCAAAGGGGACTCAGAGTGGACCACAGAACATACATATACAGCAAACATTCAATGTCATTTTATACACAACTAGACAGACAATTATACATAGATATCCATGCAGTCATGCCGGCCACATGACCTTGGAGGTGTCTACGGACAACGCTGGCTCGTGCAGTCATGCCGGCCACATGACCTTGGAGGTGTCTACGGACAACGCTGGCTCTTCGGCTTAGAAATGGAGATCAGCACCACACCCCAGAGTCAGACATGACTGGACTTAATGTCAGGGGACTACCTTTTTAAGAGGTGTATATATTGGCTTTCCTCATCTTTTGGCATCTTGGAAGGTGTTGTGCTCAGTCATGGGGGGTGCTGTTGCTCCATCTCCCTGCCAAAGATCTTGTTCATAGCTTCCTCCTTTTTCCCTGATCGTTATTGCTGGCATTCCTTATGGGTGCCTCAAAATACCTCCCCTGCTTTTTAAAAAGCAGTACCTATTTATCTACTCACATTTGCCCTTGAACTGCTAGGTAGGCAGAAGCTGGGCTAATGGCCAGGAGCTCACCCTAACACAGCTTCAAACTGGCAGCCTTTTGACTGACAAGATTGACTAAAGCTGGTGGTATAATCTGCTGTGCTAAAGCCAGCTCTGTGATTTTCTGTGATAGTTAGGACATGAAGGCATGAAGGCAGAACCATTTGATTTCCAACACAAAATCTGGCCTGAAATCTAAAGCTACTTTAGGGCTCCTGAGTTGCTCTGAGCCAAACTGGATGGGATTTCCAAATCAGCATCCAAGCTGAATCTTGTGACCAGTGCGCATTGTTAGTGCGCAATGTTTGTTTAACTGTTGAGTGAAAAGCTGAGTGGCAGAGCTGTCAAAGTCTAATCTGGACTTGATTTTGAACGTAATGACTTCCTAGCCAGCATCTACTGTGTGCTTGGATACCTGGCAGGTTTTCTTTGGCTTTTTAATAGCCACATGACGGTAGCTTTTCATGGCATTATATGTGTCTATTATGACACAGGCAGAAATCCAGAATTAACATTTTTTTCATTGCATGCATGTGCCCATCCATTGCCACCCACAACTGTAGGTATTTGGCATGACAGTAATTATGTGTAAATGCTCAGGACAATGCTACATTTAGGTGTGATAGCAAATCAGTTTTGCCTCCCCAACAGGGTCTTGGATAGTTAAGCCAAGCAGTGCTTGGAAGTCACATACAACTTCTCTGTTACGCCAGCTCCATTGGCTGCCTGTTTGTTACCGGGCACAATTCAAAGTGCTGTCTTTACCCTAGAAAGCCCTTAACGGCTCCGATCCAGCTTACCTGTCTGAACGTATCTCTCCCTATGAACCATCTAGGAGTTTAACATCATCCGGGGAGCCCCTGCTTTCGGTCCCGCCTTCTTCGCAGGTGCATTTGCCGGGGACAAAAGACAGGGCCTTCTCACTTGTGGCCCCTCAGCTGTATAATATTAGATCAGCCCCCTCCCTCTTGACCTTCCAGCAAAAAATGAAAATGTGGCTATTTGAACAAGCCTTCATAATCTAATGCAACAGTCAAACATGGAATTAGATGAAACATTGGAACAGCTCAGACAATGACTTTTGGACAATGAGACTAACAATGAAGGCATTGGTTTTTATGTTTTTAAAGCTTTTATTGAATATATTTTTAATTCTGGTTAAATGTCATTCTAAGGTGTATATTCTGTGGGCCCCCCAGTGGCGCAGTGGGTTAAAGCACTGAGCTGCTGAGCTTGTTGACCAAAAGGTCGCAGGTTCGATTCCAGGGAGCAGCGTGAGCTTCTGCTTTCAGGCCTAGCTTCTGGATATAAGGAGCGAGCCTTGGAAATGATCTTTCGGAGAAAAGTATTTGTCTTATTTTGGTGGTAGATGCTGCTGGTTTCCCCCCAGGTTTGTTGGATTTTTGGTATCCTGACCTGTCTCCTGTAATCTTGGAACCCTGGAACCTTGAACCTCTGAACTGGCTTTTGACTACAGTATAGACCCTTGATCCCTGGACTTTGTTTATTGAACTCTCGGCATTTGACCACTGGACTGGACCCTTTGACTACGGTGTAGCTTTTGCTAACAGTTTTTGTTTATTCTGTGGCTATCTTTATGTTTTGAAACAGCCAGAAAGTAAGTGCTGTTTTAATTCAATTGTTTAACACAAACTGGGTGTTTGTTTGATTCACCTTTGCCAAAAATAACGGCAGAGCCCTGGCATCGTGACAATGGTTAATTTATTTAAAAGGAAAAAAGAATCAAGGCACCATAGCTTGATTTGTGGATAAGTAGACCCAGCTTTTTGGGGTCAATGCTTTGAGTAAAATGTCTAGACCAGGCATGGGCAAACTTTGACCCCATTGTCTAGAGTTATACATGAATACAGAATTTTATTTGTATTCTTCTTCTTCTTCTTCTTCTTTCCCCAGAAGGGGAGCCAAAGTGACTTACAATGTAGAGTTAAAAGGATATGATTAAAATATTATGTGGTAAGATGTTAAAATGGCATTAAATGACATGTCCATTTGAAGCCTTTATATATAATCTCCATCCAGTAACACTGTGTTGTCTGCACCTCGCCTTTTCCCAGGTATTGTTTATAATGTTGCTGTGGTGACAGGAGACATCCGAGGGGCTGGTACCAACTCCAAGATCCACATTGTCATGCATGGCTCTAAAGGGCAGAAAAACAGTGGGAAGGTCTTCCTGGAAGGAGGTGAATTTGAACGGGCCCGGTCTGATCTTTTCAACGTGGAGATAGCTGCTCTTCTGAGTCCCTTGAGTCGCGTCTCCATCGGACATGATAATGCCGGTCTCAGCTGTGGCTGGTATTGCGAGAAGGTGAGAATAGGCCACTTAACGCCGTTGGACAGCTGTCCAATCCTGTTACCCATTTGCCGTCTGACCAGAGTGACCTGCAGCATTTT